ACAGGAGGATATATTGTGCTGAGCCACCAGTGTTGAGGCGGGTACAGTAGGATATACTGTACTGTGCCACCAGTGTTGAGGCGGGTACAGGAGGATACAGTGCTTGACACACTGAAGGGACCACGGAGCGTGTTAAAGCGGTGTGTTTGGTGAAAGTAAATGAGTGAGTCACATGAAGGAAGCCCTTTAATAGATATGATAAAGTATGAGCTGCCGGCAACACACACCTGCCAGAGGTACGTCTTCCCACACACGACACCCTTCAACACACAACACTAACAGCAACACCTTCCCAAACATCCTGCAACAGCACATTTGCACAAGGATACACTATAGTGGAACATGAAGAAAGAAACACGAGTGGCAAGTGAGCAGCGGCATGAGGCAAGAATTCTGTGTCAGAGTAGCTACGAATGGAACTAGGAAGTTAAGAGGTGGAGGCTGACTCCATACACGGACTCAGATGCTGATGTTGACCAGACCACACACTAGAATGTGAAGGGACGACGACGTTTCGGTCCGTCCTGGACCATTCTGAAGTCAGATGCTGATAAGATAGAGTGCAAAGCCTTTGAGAACTTGCACATAAGTTGATTTATGAAAATCAACTAGTGTGCAAGTCCATGAGAAGTTAGGTGAGCATATATGGAGAGCCAACTACCTCACCATCACCCCAACCCATTACACTCCCACTACACCTCACACCAAACCCCATTATCTCCCTCACAAACAAACTCTTTCCGTCGACTCTTGCACCACTTTTCATCCCACGAGCATCCACTCTCAGACCTCCCTTACCCCCCAACCTCTGTCTGCCACTCACAATTCATCTGCCCCTTATTCCCCTCCACAACCCCATCCCCTCTAACCCCCCATCCTCCCGCGTCCTCGCCCACCCATTTCCCTAATAACCTTTCTCCCCCCCACCCTCCCCTCTGCCCATTACCGCCCCCATGTTCCGGGCACCTCTTGTGTTGTCTCTGGACACAGCGCCAAAGAAAGCTTCGTAGGCTCATACAGAGGATAACGTCGGCAGCATATTCTACACTACCAAAACTCAGAAAAACATTCAGGAACGTAAATAAGGAGACATTTAGATCGCTGTCCACAGCCTACGTGAGACCGTCTTAGAGTATGCAGCCCCATTCTCAAGTCCCCATCTAAATCACACATAAAGGAAACTCAAAAAGTTCAGAAGTTTGTATCGAGATTCGTTCCAGAATTGCGTGGCGGTTGGATATGAAGACTGAAGGAAATACACCTGATTACGCTATAAGAGTGTAGAGGTTACACATGATAGAGACGTAGAAAATACTTAAGGCGATAAAGTGGAAAATATTACATTTACACAATGAATACCAACATAAGGAGAGGGAATGGGTGGAAGCTTGAGAAACATATGAGACATTCACATGTTAGTAAGTTCTCTTATAGTGTAAGAGTAGTGGAAAAACAGTATAAACTATAGTAGCAGATTGTAGAAACAAATCCCATTCATAATTTTAAAAGTAAATATTATAAGGAAATATGCTTAGTCATTGCATTGGTCAATCGACAACTAGAAATGTGGGGTCCAATAGCTAAAGCTCGATTCTGTAGTCACAAATTGGTGTATTCACACACAAACTACATTATAACGACAGTGACCGAGTATATAGACCCGGGTCTTGTAACTGACTTGAGGAAAACTCTATTGGATTTCTTGCCTCAACTTGAATTAAGCAAGTTCCTTGCTTTATAGCCAAGTTAGCTTTACATATTAATATCCAGGTAAGCAATACTTGGATCAAATTAGCTTTAACGAGAAGGGTTAAGTAAGTTTAAGTTTGTTGTGCGAGACTAATTGGAAGTTTCTTTGCTCAGTCTTAACTTTGGAGATAAGAGCCAAAAAGTAGCTTTGTATTATTTTTAGCAATATAGGTATTATCATTATTATCATTAATATCCTTATTAACAGTATATTGTTAATAAGCCCAGCGCCCATGGGGGGGAGCCAGGGGGAGCCCCCCTTCCCAGGGGCTCCCCCAGGGGCTCCCAGAGGCTCCCTCAGGGGCTCCTCCAGGGGCTCCCCCAAGGGCTCCTCAGGGGCTCCCCCAGGGGCTCCCCCAGGGGTTCCATCAGGGGCTCCCCAGGGGCTCCCCAGGGGCTCCCCAGGGGCTCCCCCTGGGGAGTTAATCGATTAAGTCGTTAATCGATCTACTTTACTAAACAATTTATAAACCTGAACTGTCACCATAGAATCTATGGAAGTAGGCGTCTCTGATACTTGAACTGTTATACACAATTATATTATTAAAATCAATCCTATGATCGAAATCCCAACAGTGGTTAGTGATGGCATTATTCCGATCAAAATTGGTTACTGGATTTTTGTGATCAACTTTTTTTCAATCCCCCACGACCAGTCTCCCCAGAATATGATACATTGCAATCCTTGCAATTGATCACATCAACACCCCAAAATACTCTTTATCCAAATATCCAAAATCCAAAATACTCATCGTTCTCACCATAATTATTACCGTTACTCGTGTTATTATTTCTTAAAGAAAGTGAAGGTATTGTAAAGTTCCTCGTGTCTTTAAACGTCTCTCATGCTCATTTGCTTTTCCAGCTTCCACCTGTGTCCTCTTGTCCGGCTTTCTCTTAGTCTAAAGAGCCTGTCCTTGTCCACCTTAAATATTCCCATCGGTATCTTGTAAGATGTGAACATATCCCCCTCTGTTCCTTTTAACCTTTAGATTCCATTAGCCTATGTTATGGACAAAATATTTAAAGACCTCGGCGACACTAATTACAAGTTTGTTTTGGACTTGCAAAGCACAATTACGATAAAACTTTGCCATAACAAAGCCAATAATAAAGGGTAGTTGTTAGTGATAATAACAGCAGGAATGAGGTCATTAAAGGTAATAATGGGAGCATTTTTAAAGAAATCTCCCAACTTGTATTCATGAAATAAAGCAGAATACGGAGGCCAATCAGCGGCAGCAGTTACCTGGTAAACAAGGCCATTACAGGGAGGTGTGACTCAACTGGCCTGTGAATGTCGGGTATAAACAGTGTCATACGGAGACAGATGACTCATTTTTAGATTAGTTTTCAACATTTCCCTCTCCCTATGGCAGGCATGAGAGTATGATATAGGGATGAGAGTGAGTATGATACAGGGATGAGAGTGAGTATGATACAAGGATGAGAGTGAGTATGATACAGGGATGAGAGTATGATACAAGGATGAGAGTATGATACAAGGATGAGAGTGAGCGAGCATGATACAGGGATGAGAGTGAGAGAGCATGATACAGGGATGACGAGTCTTGGCTGGTGTCTCCTGAGGCCAGATGATAAAATATGAATATCAAGATGGTATGTTGGTTGTGCCCAGTGAGGGGTGGTGGTGAACCCTCACTGGCTGACTTGCGACCTGGAGCCCGGCTCAACAGCCTGGTGTCGACCAGGGAGCCCGACCCAACAGCCTGGTGTCGACCAGGGAGCCCGACCCAACAGCCTGGTGTCGACCAGGGAGCCCGACCCAACAGCCTGGTGTCGACCAGGCAGCCCGACCCAACAGCCTGGTGTCGACCAGGGAGCCCGACCCAACAGCCTGGTGTCGACCAGGGAGCCCGGCCCAACAGCCTGGTGTCGACCAGGAAGCCCGACCCAACAGCCTGGTGTCGACCAGGCAGCCCGACCCAACAGCCTGGTGTCGACCAGGGAGCCCGACCCAACAGCCTGGTGTCGACCAGGAGCCCGACCCAACAGCCTGGTGTCGACCAGGGAGCCCGACCCAACAGCCTGGAGTCGACCAGGGAGCCCGACCCAACAGCCTGGTGTCGACCAGGGAGCCCGACCCAAGAGCCTGGTGTCGACCAGGGAGCCCGGCCCAACAGCCTGGTGTCGACCAGGGAGCCCGACCCAACAGCCTGGTGTCGACCAGGGAGCCCGACCCAACAGCCTGGTGTCGACCAGGGAG